GAATACTTGTAGCTATATTTCTCTAGAACATATCTAGCCTTTTCTACATAGAATATTCTAGATAAATGCATCACTATTTGATTAGCCTTTATCCAGTTTGACCCTTTGCTCCACGCGTTGACCAGGGTTGACCCCTCCAACCATTCCGGAACGTCAATGTGGGACGACATGGCATAAATGTAACTGACAACCTTGTACCCGTTCCGGGTGAGCCCCACCTTGTCGAAAAATTCGCGGCGGCCGTACAGACTGCTTCCGTAATATTCGGAATATGGGTCCATGTCGAAGGCGTCGTACGTCGCCTGAGCGAACTCGCCGTATTTGATGATCTCCCGCCTTAGCCAAGGGTGGAGCGGGTCGAGGAGGCCTTCCCATTCACGGCAGCCATGGATTTCTATCCACTCCGATGATATATTCTCCCTCGGAGACATTGCCGGCGTGTCTGCCATGTCCTGGATGCTCATTATTGTTTGGTCGTTTGATTTGGCGCCGTTAAGGTTGACGTCGGGAACCTCAATTGGAAGGTAGCTGAAGAGGCCGGACATGGTCTCCGCCAATTTTGCCGCACCGGTTGAAGCCCTGTTCGTTAGGCTCTGGAAGGTGTCGTTTGTGTTGGCCTTGACCGCGACGGCGGCTGGACGTAATCTGTTTGTAACGGCGGTGGAGAGGACGTTCGTGCCGCCGCGAGCGGCGGTTGGGGGTTGATTGGTTAGTTGCATGTTGGGCAAACGAACCAAATGTAGTTTTCCTTTTTTTGAATGAAACGAATAATGTGTGCGTACGTGATGTGTGGGTGTGATTCTATGGAAAAGTTGCGATTGTATACAAACGGACATACTTGGTAGACAACACCGGTCAACGCTAACACTCACTCCTAATAAATTAATTTGAGAGAAAATATAAATCATATCAGAAATTTATGAAGATGGGAGAAATTATTTCTAACAATTGAAGAGTTTCTTTGACGTGTAACAAAGATGAGTATGTAGAGTGAGACAATGTGGTTCTAACTTCTATGAACTGAACATCTAAAAGTTTGTAAATTTGGCAAATATGCATGTGTGAAAATTTTAATTCAGCTTTTATTTGTCAATTAAAATGAAATTGTGAAAAAATGAACACCCAAAATCATATTTCGTAGTTAATCCGCCACCTCACCAATCACCGTGATTATTTTGGGTACAACGGAAATAAAAAACAGGAAATAACAAAAGCTATAGTCTAATAATTTCGAGTCCATTTTTGTCCTCCCAAAGAAGGCGTGCTAGTTCTTCTGGTGTCTCTTCAAGAATAGTCATTCCTTTGGGATAGGAATGAGTCATATTTGCTAAAAAAAATCAGCGCATTTGTTACCCTCTCGTAGAGAATGATGTATGCCCTTGATATGAGTTGGATTAAGAAGAAAGCGGCAGTCTTCGATGAGAGGGTCCATTGCATCCCCTTCACCATGATATGATGTAACAAAAATATGACATAATATACTCTGATCTCTATACATGATAGTTTCGAATGGCATAATATATTTCAAATGGCATATCTAACCATGATAAAATATAATGAAGGAAAAAAATTATAGAAGTATTAATCTTTGCTTATGTAATCAGAGGCAATTATATTATAGTTAGCATGGTTCTTTTTTCTAGAATACCGTCTATACAACTAATGGAAATATCTACGACCCTTTTCGCATATCTTTTTCGCCCATTCAAATCGCTCAAGAAGGGAGATCAGAGTGGAAGAGTACTATATGTTCTAATGTTCTTCCAAAGGGACGTGTCTATCTCTATGCATTTTGATCTTCTACATGCAAGGCCGGTCTTTGGGGAGAGTTTACCTAGACAAATGTCCTCCAAAGTTGCAATGAGTTGCTCAAAGAATCATACGGAGTATAAGTTAACGAATAAACTAATTTTATGATCATCCGTAGATCGAAGAGTCTCATACAAGTACAAACTTGAACTTTAATCTGAATAGCATTATTTTGTCACAAACCAAATATAATATACTCCCTAATATAATCAACATCTCGATCAACCTCGTCACAAATGGATCTTTTAGTTTTAGACATAAGTAGACACCAAAATACACAACGAACTTTTAATTGAATACTACGTATAGTAGTAGATTAGTAGCTAACCATAGATCCGCACTACAAGGAAAGTGACATTTTATGACACACAAAAAGTGTCAAGAAAAATAGTAAAAGTGTCAAGATAGACCCTTTGGAGATTTGCCAACACACACACAAAAAGTGTCACTAGGAACGGTGTTAGGAAAAACATTTCTTCACACTCAAACACATGTGTTGGCAAATCCCTTGACACTTTTAGTGACACATAAGTGTGTCAAAAAAATTACTAAGTCTCTCAATGTTTTATATGTGTCAAGGAATGTTTTTGGTGACACACAAGTGTCAAGTAAATTCATATGTATATTCCAGACCAGTTAACTTTCAAAAATCATTTGACGGCCTTCCCGATGGAATTATTTACTCAAATTTGGTATGGAGGAACTAGACTTGATGAGGAACATACACAAAAAAATTGAGCCAAAAATATCACCGGGAAACTCCCCAAAAGGAGGAGGCCGGACGGCGCTCCGGTCAGGAAGGGAGGGACCCGAAGATTACTCCTAGTGTATATATTTAAATCTGTATTCTATTGTTTGCTATAATATGAGTTGACACAATATTTGAGGGGAAAATAATAAGAGTAATAAATAGTGTAGGAAAAGTAGGAGAGAGTGAATAAATATGAAATAGAATATGAAAAGTAGAAAAAGTAAGAATAATTTCGTACTACCTCCGTCCCTTAAAAACTTTCTTACTTACCTTTATGGAATGTTCCAAAAAAAAATCTCATTTGCTTCTTTGGAAAGTTCAGTGTGGCTACCATTCGTTAACATTTTTCTTACTCAAACACAATCATATATTTTTACTTTATTCACACTTTTTATACTTCGTCCCAAATCAAACCTAGAAGAGTTTTATGGGACAAAAGGTGTATTTTTCAAATGAAAAGCTTATCACAAAGGAAATGTAACAAATAAAAATTACAGAATGTATATAATAATGAAAAGTCATAAAAATAGAAAAAGAATTTTAAATCTATCTCTTTCTAAGGTTTCTTAGATTTAAATATGAGAAGTAAGGGGAAAAAAAGGAAGGGAAATCCGTAAATCCTAGTGGAAGAGAAAAAAAGGAAAAGAAAAGAAAGACAAAAGGAAGAAAGAGAGAAAGATGGGCAGGACTCATTTCATTCGTGTGTACCCGTATGAAGTACACATAAGATTGAAAGAAGAAAATGAAAAAGAAAAGTAAATAAAAATGGAAGGCATATGTCAAATCTGACTTGCAATAAAAATGGAAGGCATAGTAAATGTATGTGATACTTTTTTCAGTAGAAGGATGGGGTGATGTTTTTGGTATAGTAGGAGGGTGTATTTGACTTTTTTTTCAATATTTTTTACTAAGCAAACACATTTAGATTTGATGACATGAAATGACTAGTTACATGTGCCATAAGTGACGTGGTAGGTAGGGTGACATTGCAAAAAAATTCTCTAGTTTGGAAAATAAGTTTAAAAGTATCCTTGTTTGGGAAATAAGTTTTAAAACTACCCTAGTTGGGAAAAAAACTCTTGAATTGGCACAAGTTCGTAAACTTGAGCGACGACCTCAAATATATGACTTTAAATTAGTCAAACAATAGTTAGGTTTCCTGTTTCGACTACTCATAACTTATATCCTACGAATCCTTTCCACCACTAAAAAAACCAATTGACGATTATTTGTGACCTACATGGATCTCCTAAGTATCAATCAACTAGCTAGTCACATACTCCGCACTTCATACTACTCCGGAATTAAAAAATGGTTTACAAAGAAGTCAACTAAATTATTGTATTCCACGTCGTGAGAGCGGTAAGAATTTAGTATTGACTAGTGTTGCTCAATTAAATTAATTTCATGTGATTAAGCCTGATTAACCAGAAATCCGGTTACCCCAGAATCAATACATGTTCCCTTCGTCGTTAATTAGAAAGAATCAAGCTATTTTTATTCGTTTGTCTGCATTTTTATTTTCCAAACCAACCAATCTCGCACAATTGCATTTATTTTATTTCTTTATATCGCTGAATTTAATTAATACTTGATTCCCTTTTTCCGTCCCTGTGGAGACGATACTCGTACTTACACCACTATTCTACTACTTATTTTTAGGGCGAGAAAACTCACATCAATGTCTTGGTCATTTTATCATTTATTTACATAAACAACAAAAAATTTCCGCACTTTGCTTTTATTCTCTATTTTAATTCTCAGAATTGAACTTTGTAGAACAATTTTTTATTGTTGATTCGATCCGGTATTTTATCGGAATTTATTACTACATGGAACTTGTATACTTGCAAGTTTAGATTGATCATGTGGTAACAAGATGATGAGGGTGCTGGTATGTGGGGGTGGTAGTCCAATGACAAGCTAGTTAGGTTGGCGGTCACTTGGGGTGATGTGGGGTGGTTTGATAGTGACAGGCGGGTCACAAGAGCACAACGTGATATACTAAGATTTTTTTGCATTGTGCGACATGTGCGCCTTTCTATATCGTTTAACTAGAATCACTAATAAATAAAGTAAACAAATAAACCTAATTAGTTTGAATTTGTTTGTAATCAATTTATTAAAGTGTGAATTACTGAAACGAGTCCTGCCTTATGCATAAATGAACATATTATTTAAAAAATGTGCATTATTATGAAATTATAAAATGGACAACTCGTGCAATAGTTTTATTGAATATGCACACAATGCTTATGAAATAAGCATGTGAAAATGAAAAAATAAGGACTCTTAACTACTCTTGTGTACAATGCTCCATGCATTCTGTTGTACTCTGCCTATGGGTAAGTCTAAAATTATCTGTGCAAAGATCTACTACAAATTATCAAACTTAAGTCTAAAATTCACAAAAAGATTCTTCTAAAGTCTAATGAGTATTGTACAATTACTCGGTGATATGTATCCATTGGCGAGGCAAAATCCCTCGACACAACTATTAAAAATTTATCACACTAAGAACTACCCTATTCAATTAGTCAACTACATGTGAATCCTGAACATGAGAAAGTGGATCCCCTTGGCACAATTTCCCACATCACTAGATAGTATCGTATTACAAAACTAAAAAAAGAATATAAAAATCCGATCCTAACAATTAACTATACATCAACTATATTTTAAAAGTTGCAGCAATGAGGTTGACCATGACGCAAATTATCCCACAGACAAAACATTTGTTGCGGAGATTGGTAATGTGCTGTAATGTAGTTATCCATGCATCCATATTGACAGAATTTCCAGTCATGCACATATTGAACTGGGGTTGTGATGTTGTACTTTTCGACCCACATTCCCATGCTCACATCCTCCATTTTGAATAACTGTTGGGATATATGATATAGATTCATAAAAGGTAGAGAAGATATAATCAAGGTTCAAATATGTAAAAAACGGGGTGTCAAATTAGCCTATTACTAACCCGTAAGTTATTGTTGAGATGTTCAGAGACTATATTTTGTGCTATGTCTCTGGAGATAATATACCCGGGTCCATTAGCATACGGCGGATATATATCTTCTGGCCACTCCTATTAGGCAAACAAAGGATACTATCAAATAAGTATGCGGGAGAAGGATGTCCACTAATAATTCTTCTAGCCACTACGTACAGTTACCTCAAATGTAACGGCCCATTTTCCGTGTCTGAGAGGTCGATGCATTAGATTAAGATTGCCCATGTAAAACGACTTCGGGGGTGAAACACGATCAATTTCTTTCATAACAGCATCTAATCTGATGAAATTGTCATCATCACATTTCATAACATAAGCAGCAGTCACATTTTGAACCTGAAACCAGAATTTTGGACCATGTAATTACCATATAGGCATATAGTAGCAATAATACAAAGCATCAAAGCCTCGAAACATTTGTATTGGGTGGGGGAGGGATTGGGGAAGAGGTAATGGTTTAGGCCCCCTTTTCCTTAACCTCCACAACTTAAAGTTACCACCAATTGCATGAGCATTTCCCCGCCTCTTCAGAAAGTACCCAAAAGAATCGCACAAATCAGCAATCTAGGAAAGAGGTCATGCTTACCCCATAATCGCATATGGCAATAGTCTTCAAAACAACTAACTCATATCTATCTATAAATGGCACAACCACAATGTCCCCGAAGAAGGCAGCCTCCTTTCTCAACATAGAATTCAACTCCTTTCGTTGATTCTACACGGCATATCATGAAGCACCACATCAAATAAAATTTCAATTGAATGTATACAGTTAAACACAATCACAAACCACTAGGAGAAATACAATATCCTCTAAGTGTAAATCATTTTGTACTGTCAATTTATATCTGCTTCGGTTGAATGGAAAATGAGAAAAACTCCCCCTTCTAACTTTGTGTTTCATGACATAAACTCTAAACAAGACACAAAAATTACAAAGTCCATTTTCCACCTTTCATGATACAGAATTTCAACATAGTACTCAAATCAGGATTTCATTGAAGAAATCAAAAGTAGCATATATAGAGAATTGTAGCTTAGCAGGAGTAGAAGTTCTTTCGTTTGCTAAACTTTTTTAAAAAAAAGAATGGATTTTTTATTGAGTCTTGTTTACTAAAATAAGGGCAAGATGGGCTCTACTTCTAGTCAATACATGCAATTTGCATTCCATTTGAAGAAACATTTACTTTTAGTCCTATGCTCAACTTAGTATGGAGTAGTATAGTAGGAAAATGATTGGGAGTGATGTTAGAAATATAGAGAGAGTCTACCAAAGCAACAAAGAAACGAGCCACGACACTTGAGGACTTGATTGCTTGAGATTGCATCCAAGTTTTTCTTATAGCCATACGTTCTGCAAAGTGATTGGTGGCAGATAGAATTCCAATGAAAAGTTGAATAGGTTTTTTCAAGGGAAAAGGAAGAGACTTCCATTTCTCAGAGTAGTCCAATACCCTTTGCGGTGAAAAGCTTGGATGAGATGTGGGAAGAGATGTTGCATAAACTGAGTGAACATCAACATCACCAGCAATTGCCAATCCTGTAGCATCTTCTAATGAGAACCCCTGAAGAAATACAAAAGCTCTTATTTTTAATTAATAGATAATTGGGATCTCTAGATAATTTAACTTTAGCTAGAAAAAAGATGTAATCAGTTGCACTATGACGTCCAAAAAGTCATAGCTATCAAATCTATGTTGAGAAAGAGAAAGAAAAGGTTTCAAATGGAACAAAACAAGTCAAGATATACGTTCAAAGCAAAGATGTTGTTTTTTAAATGATACTCCCTATATCCCATATTTATCTCCTAAAGGACAACCGGCACAGGGATTAAGATAGTGAGTTTTGTGTGGTGGAGAGTTGTGCAGAGGAGAGATAAATGCATAAGAATGTGTAAGAAATGTCACCACGGAATTGGAAACTCCAAATTTAACAGATCGATTTGCCATAAATCAAAGTTTGTCACCACGGAAAACTGCTTGCCAACTGAAAACTTGAATACGCAGATCAAAATTTATAGAAAAGCTCAAAAGAATAAAAGGCAGCATAGCATGAGAACAAGGTCTCAATCCAGAGACTTCCCGTGGGACTAGTTATTTTTCCGATGTTTCCTCTGTTTTTCCTTTTGTACTGTTTTTCTTTCCTTTTCACTTTGTACTGTTTTCCCTTTTATCAATAAAAAAAGATCTTTCTCTCTAAAAAAAGAATGTGTAAGAAATGTTGTGAAACATAAATTCTTTGCCAAAAAAGGAAAGAGGAGATCGTTTTGGGACGGTCAAAAAAGGAAAATTTGAAGATAAATATGGGACGGAAGTCGGGAGTAAAACATTATACTTTTCCTTTAACATTTATAAAATCTGAAAAGAAAAAAATAAGATAACTCACTGAAATTGTCGAAATATTGGGAGTCCATTTTCTTTCCTCATTGAATTAATATAGTAGGCAGTTTCAATCCCTTTTCCACAAACTTACAATCTTTCCACACTTGTGAAAAAATAACTATACCACCACAATAAATAATACAATGATCTCATCATAATGGAGTAATCAAACATACCACCCTGTATGAAAAAGAAGTCACATGTCGACCACCAACAGTTATATGGAATCCATCAATACCAGCACGAACAGTCATAATAAACATCTTTCCCTCCACAAATGGAAAAGGCCATGTCACCTCTGGTTTCTTTGCACGCCCTATGAATCGCTGAAACCATGAAAATATTTTGGACTCTTTCACGTCAACTATATCGCTTCGCATCCACTTTTCACATCTCAGAAATCCATCAACTACAAAAACAGAGATCATGTTTAGTTACATATTTTAAATTAAAGAAACGGTGCATGTAGAGATATATAGATTTGTTGATAAGGTTCAGAGACTTGAAGAAATGCCATATAAAAAGAATAAATGGTTGTCTATTGTAAAACATAGACTAGCACAAAGGTCTCCATTCTGAAAACACATCAATAATATTTAGAAGAAACATAATTGGAATGTATTGTGTATGATATCAACACTGATTTAGAACAAAGACAACGTGGACTTCTCAAAATCTCCAATAAAACCAAACAAGTTTGCACTAGTGCATGTATAGTAACTATTAAGTGACAATGCATCTGAATAAAAGCAAAAATGCTCTGGCATTATATCAACATGTCATCAAACAAAGTTTTTTCAAACACATTTTAATATAAATATTATGTCAAATGAAAAATAGTTTAGATCCTTAATTAATATGTTGATCCAAGTTCAATGTGTTTTTTACTCCAGGGGGCGTCTAGGGGAGGGGGGTGGGGGGCCTGGAGTAATGTAGGCTGAAACTCACTCTATTGAGTTCCGAACCCGAGACCCTTAAGGGAGAGTGAGTCTCCAAGTTCAATGTTATCTACATAGAAAAGTTTCTTTTCCCTATCTAATAAGTATACAGGTCCCAAAAGAATATTAATGTCTAGGTTCCTTCAACTTCATGGCATTCTAATCTCAATCTTTTCAAAGTATTCCCTCTATAATAAAAATAGAATAAAAAGAACAATAAGTGTCTTGTTGGGTAGTACTGATTTCAGTAGGAAAACAAGACTCTTTTGGTTGTTCATTTTTGGGAACGATTTGAAATAAGGATTACAATTTTTTTTCCTACAGCAATTTAAGGGTATGTTTGCATCTAGCAAAATGCCAGTGGAGGGAAAATCTCAAGCATAATTACTTTTTTATGTTTAGCTTTACTTTGAAAAATTAAAAAAGAAGTGAAATACTACGTATGATTAGTTTTATTAGGTACTTTATATATTATTTTCCTAATTCCATCCAATTGTACTCCTTGTTATCATTAAGTTCTTTCCCAAGTACTTTTCGGGACCCAAAATGGCACAAGGGTTCACAATATCATGTTACTTTAAGATAGTGATGGAATAGATTCATTAATGAGGAACTCTTACCAAGCATGTCCTCATCACTTTTGGAAGGAATACCATCACACCTTTGAGATGTCCCCCATTGCATCCTATAACAGGTGTTATGCTCAATCACCGGTCGACGACTCCAATCTCCTCTTACCCGGGGATTTAAATGCAGAATTTTTGGTGGGTCCTCCCCAACCACTGCTTTTAATCCTTGTAACTCAAATGAAAAATGGGATATTGAAACCATTCCATCACCTTTTGTTGTCTTGGCAAGTTGGGGCACATATTCACGATGAGCATAGTGTGGGATACCAATCACGGTGATTGAGGAACCAGCAGAAAGACCACAAGGGAGGAGCATAATGCGGTCTGCTTTAGCCAATTCTTCTCCTGTCATGGTAACAAATGAAGGACATGACTCAGGCTTCCCCTCAAATATTGAATTCTTTATCTCAGGATCCTTCTCATCGTAATTATTTGCTTCATCCCATGCCTTCAAGCCTAATGTCCAAGCTTCAATTGCCGCTCTTTCTAACACAGAAGGGTTGATAGTCATATTCAATGGTTTTAAAACACTAGAAGTCATTTGATCATATCCAAGCCTGTAAGATGGATTTTTTCCATGGTTGCGTTGTATATGACGTAATCCATCGGCATGTGTGGACCCCACATTCGTTTTACTAAGCTCTCCATCATCATTACTTGTATCTGTGAACTCATCCACTCCAAGAACACTCTCATCACCTCCCAAAGCTGTGGCACTCTCATAAAACTCCGGAAACTTCACGCAAATAAGAATCAAGTATAATGCACCTAAAGCTAAGAAAATATATGAAAGCTTGATCCTCCTTCCAGTTTGAGGCTCAATTTTTGACCTCTTATTCATCTTGAAACAACAAAAATAGTACACTAGAACTCATAGAGAATGCCAAAAGCATTTCCAGTCCATTTATTTCACACGCTTTGAAGACAACATTAGGAACTCAATCCCCACATGTAAGAGGGACCATAGAGATGAACTTCCAAATTAAACATCTCATAAATTCAAAAAAAATGCATTTCAACACAAAAACCTTAAAGCATGCCAAGAAACCGAAATCCGGCCATCAAAATCTGGAATCAAAAACAAAATTTAATAAAATATTGGTTGTTTACCACAACATAATGATCAAGTAATATATTATTATAAGAAATTAAATAAATAGACCTGCATTGCATTGTACATTCTCACAAACGTCCACCATTGTAAGGAAATGCATTAAACCGGTGCCTTGGAGATTGAAAGGAAAACAAACATATGGAAGGAACAATGTGGGGGATGCCTTGACATGGGTTTTCTGAATAATGAAGAAAAATGGAGAGAAGTGTGCATGCGGGTTGGTATTTTATGTTCCTGAAACCATTGATTTAACCCCGGGAAATGAGAGGAGTTCTCCCTATGATAGTCGTGTAAACTTTTCTTTGTTGAAAGGCTCTCCTTTTTTGCGGCCATTTTCTTTTTTGGACACTTTTGTTTTATTTGTACTCATTTTGTTTAGAAAAATGGAAAATTAATTCGTGCTCAAAAATCAAATTTCATATATTCATAATATAAAAAAGCCACATTGAAAAATCTTCGAACAATTTAGGAAATAGTAATATTATAAAAATAGTAAAAGTGTGTACCGTTGTCATTAATTTATAACAATCAAAATATAAAAAATAGCCTCATTGAAAAATCTTTGAACAATTTAGGAAATATTCCTATTATAAATATAGTAAAAGTGTATGTTGTTGTCATTTATAGCAATCAATGCTAGTAATAATATCTTTATAATGTATACAGGGTCCGATTTCAATAAAGAATGATTATCCCATGAGAAATGAGAACATCTTCACTTTTGATCATCTGAAGAGCACTATTACACTTACATGATTTTCGTCATCTACATTTGGTCATCTACGGTACACTTTTTCACACACGAAATCTACTTTCTCAAAAAAGGAAAACTTTGATTTATTTACAAAAATGTCACGCCTTTTTAATCCATTTTCAAGTATTTTTGGCATATTTAGACCATTATATCTTAGACTTGATGCACCAGATTTATTCATACTTTTCATGGGAATGAAAGAAACTTTTTATATATTTAATCCAAAATTTGTATGCATAAATAAAGATCGTATATTTTTTTTTTATTTTTTATTTTTTTTTTCCTCCGGAAGGCAAACCACCAAAATCAGTGGGGTAAATGCCGGAGTACATTTACCAGGGTATTATTAGATTGAGAAAACGTTTACAAAAGAGGGGGACCAGACCAATACCTCTTTTTAAAATTCAACAATGTAAAGTAAAAACATTAAAATTTTTTAGGACAAAACCTGACCCAAAATAAACAGAAGCAGACCAAAAAACAGCAGTTCAAATACGAAGAGAAGGTATACTAAAGAGGTCCATAAAATATGCCCTACGAGCTCTAATAGGCATAGAATTAGGCCCGTCATAATGTTTAGCCGGTCCATTATGTTCAGCAGCTAGAAAATAAAGATCGTATAATTGAAATAAAATGTATAATATTCTCTCCCACAAAATGACATTATTGGAAGCATTTAGTGATTAATGTGTACAAATAGTAATTAAAACTTAGCATAAGAACTAAGTGATAGGTGTTGATACTTTTAAGTTTATTTGAAAAAACTATAGTTTTGAACTACACTTTTAATAATTGCAAAACTAGCGCAATTGTTTTTATTGTCAAAACGGATGAGTTAAATTACTATCATAGCATTCAGATAGCGGGTAAAACGACAAAAGCACCACAAACAACCACCAGCCTCAAACCAGACTTCCCATCACTCGTTGATCATATAATGGGCATAAATGAGCCAACGTCGGTTAAAGCAGACCTCCCATCACTCAATTCTAATGCAGGAGTCTTACAAAAATAAAAGTAACTAGCAGAAAAATAAACAGATTGACCATGAAAAATAAAAAGCAAACAACCAATAAAATTAAAAAATTGTTTCCAAACCCTAAACTCTAGCACTCCATGGCGGCGATTCAGGAGGGGACGGTCCAACAGTACTGTAGCTTCTTCCTCTCCTTGCCTCCGGTCCAGATCTGTTTCAGCCCCTAGCCCCACGCTTCGTTCATGACCTTCTAATCTCAACCATGAACGAGATCTTCGAAACTCTGCACCTGCTACGTACACAATTTTTGACCGCCATATAGCCATTGCGGTCTACCGAAGAAGAGAGTCTCACAAAAGGCGGACAAAAGCCGCATAAGAAAATCGCTGTTCGTCGAAAACGAAAGCGAAGAAAACCAACCCCTTAAAGCCAGGGGAGATGGCCACCTAGAGAGAGAAGAAAACCAACCCCTAAACCCAGGGGAGATGGCCACCTAGAGAGAGAAGCTCTCTTAGCATCACTGCTCCTCAATGATGTCAATAGCGGACAAAGGAAAATGGGTGATTTTAAACTAGCGATAGAAACCCTAGAAAGAGGGGAATGATAGATATTTTAAACTAGCGTGATTTTAAAAACACTAAATAAACAAGGAAAATGGGTTTAATATCACTAAATAAGATTGTGCTTTTATAAAATGATGCTCCTAAATTTTATGTTTATTGCATCAACCTAATAGCCGAACACAAATTGATATGATAAATATCGTATCTAAAGATTGAAGGGGATGAAGACAAAAAAATAAGACATAAATCTTTGATTTGGCTCGGAATTATCAGTCAAATTCTTACAATACACTCAAATCTAACCCAAATTTATTATACAACTACTCTACTAGCTAATCGTTCACTAATACAAACTACAATGGAGAAGAAACAAATGCTCTCTAGCGATTGTAAACACCTACACCCTCAATGGAATTACAAGTGGTATTTATAGTGGGAGACTGGGAGGTAATCACCGAGTAGTAATCTACACTTTCTTAACATAATCATCTAGATTCCTTCAAAAAAACACAATCATCTAGACGATTAATTATGTAAGGCAATCAAAGACAAGCAAATTAAAATACAATAAAGAAAAAAATGCAGAAAACAATGACACACAAGAAATGAATTGAACTCCAATATTAAAAAGCAATGAAATTAATTTGAATATGATAAAAAGATTAAGGAGTTCCTTTTGAACTTGATGGCTTAGTCACACCTCACATCTCTGGCAACATTATTCATTGATAGATACCTCCAGTTAACCAGCACAAATTACCGAAAGAGATAAGAATTCAAACAGAATTTTATTAGAGAAGATGAACAGTACACAATCCAAGGCCGAAGCCCCCAAAGAAGGAGATAAACTCGATCTTCCCAGTCCCAAGACTAATCGTCTAAAAGCCTACCTTATGCCTTCCTTCCCCTTTCTATTTATAGTATAAGCCCTCTTATTATTCTCTATAATAATAGGCCCAAAATAACAGACCCACTAAACAGTGTCTATTCTTCTAGTATTCCTATTAGAATTATTATCTATTATTAATCTAATAGGTAGATCCCTATCATTCATCACCTTAAATATAAACAGAGAATTCCAAAATAAGAGAAAAATCCTTACATATAAGTATATAACTAAAACATAACCAAAGTTGACAAATAGGATCATCATGGTCTTATTCCTTAAATAAGACTCGCTTACTCCTCATTGAGAAAGTTTTATATAGAGTACTATTAATACGACCAAATAAGTCATATTTGGGTAATTAAACATAAGTACTCCTTCATATGCATTTGTCTATGTTCAATTTAGACCAATTTGGAGGAATTTCTTTGAAGAGAATCCCCTGAATGAGTTCTAGAATGGCTTATCCGATATGATTCTTGCTTGTTATTACAAGAATTAACTGTTGATTTTGAGCAAAAATTCAAACAAATTGTCTGATATCACTCCCTTCTTTCACCTTCCATAGGATAGGTATAAAATGGGAAGTCTAATGGAGCAAATGTTGTACCAATATAATTTCAACCTGATGATTCTTGGGCAGGTGAGTCAGTCAAGATTTTTGAAGATTGCTGAGACTATAAAGATGATACCTTCCAAAAAAATAAAGATGATAATTAACATCAACAAAAAGTGGAGCATAACCAGCATACCAACTGGTGCATCAATCTTTAATCAGTTTGATGAAAATTTGCACGCAGGCCTGGTGTGGATCAAGGAAGTTGCCAACATTAAAGCTTCCATCAACTAATCAGTGCAACCAATATTGAGAAAACAGTCAGTCCACTCCATATTCTTGTAGATTACAGCAACAATGCCACAGAATCTGCATCATTGTATCCAGGTAGATTATATTAGTAGAATCAGTTTTTGGCAGATAGAAAAACTGATGAAATACCAATCTTGAAGCCTTATAATACAACTTTCAACTGTCCTCAATCTCAATGGAGGAAAAATTATGCAGCTTTACAGTAGAGGAGTTATAAGAGGTGATATCCAGTCTCCTGCTGCCTTATCAATTCATGGAACTTCTCATTACTGGACTTGAGCATCAGCCCCAAAGGAATCTGAATTCCCCTCTCCACAATCTCCATGTGCCTCTTCTTAATCCTCTTCTCCAAGCTGAAAGAGAAGTACTGAGGAAACTCCTTCAACTCCTCCAACTCACCCATCATCTCATTAACAAAGTAGTCAAATTTGGGCTTATAGTTGTTCTCAATGCTGAAAGTCAGCAGCCCAGGGCACCTCAGCACCATCCCCTCCGCATCACTTCTTGAAAACCCCAAACTGACCAAATAGTTGAGCTTAGGGATGAGAGTGTTCTCCACACTGGAAACCAAGAGGATGGGGTCTTGAGTAGCCAAAGCACGGAAATCTTTAAACCCTAGTTTCTTGAGGAAGAAAAGAGCTGGCTTTAGCCGGTCACTCACGCTCGCACTGAGCAATCTTGGACACTTGTTGATCACTTTCCTGAATTCTCTTTCTGGGACTTGCAGGTCATGGGAGAGGAAGTCAAATACTGGGGCGAGGTCAGATTTGATGTCTGAAGTTAGGAGCTTGGGGCACATCCCGAAGATTTTTCTGAAGTCCTTTTGGTGGATGCCTTTGGACTGCAAGAAAGTGAGGATGGAATGGAGGGAGTAGAGGGAAGCTGTGTGGAGGGAAGGGTTTTGGGAGAGGGCTTTACCAGAGTCAATGCCCATGATTTCTAGGCACAAGATCTTCTCTTTGAATTCGAGGGAGATGTTGCTGTGAATGGGTTGGTAGAGTGGGTTTTCATGGAGCAGAGTTTTGGGTTTTGATGCAATTGATAGGTGGTTGGGTAGCTGCTGCTCTGATGAGCTAGAAGAAGAAAATGAGGAGGAAGGTTTGTGGGCTGAGAAGCACATGGTGGCGGTGGGATTGAACACCGCGGCGGCGAATGGCGGTGACATTTTGGGTTCATAGATGGAGTGGATAGCAATGGAA